TAGGCGAGGTCTCTGGCACAGAGACACGGGGCCAGAGGTTGAGCTGACGCGCGGCGTATCGGCCCGCAAACGGCCACAGAACATTGGGAGCAGCCGCATGGATCATGGAGGTGCGAGCAACCTCCATGATCAAGCCAACGCGAAGCTCAGCAATCCCATTCTGCTAAGGAGAGGCTGGAAGCGGGAACAACTGGGCGATGCCCTCCTCACGACAAAAGTCATCAAGGAAGCGGGAGGAAAACTCGCCGCCTCTGTCAGAGTGCAGTCGCAGGACCTGAAGGTCATGCTGAAACCGCGTGGTCAGCTGGCAACGAACAGTGCGGATCCAGAGGATCAAAACACCGCGGACATCCGCCTTGGCCCGCAAGGGGAAGACCGTGATGTAGCGCGTGTAGTTGTCAACAACCAGCAGAAAGTAGCGCTCGTGGTCCTGTCAACGGATGCGGGCGGGGCCCCACACGTCCATGTGGAGAGTCTGCAGAGGAGCAGTGGTCAGAGGAAACGAGGAGGAGTGAGTAGCGGCGCGCTGCCGCCCCTCAACGTAGGGAAGGCACGGCGGTGCAAGCGAGCGCGGGGGTGGGGGCAGGGACCTGAGGAGGCCAGAGACAAGGAGACGAGAGTGCATGCCACGCAGGCGCGGCAGGGAGGGGTGACGAAGACAGTGGTGCCAGAGGAGAGACGGGTGCACGAGAAGGCGACACGAACAAGACGCAGCTAACTGATCGGACCCAGCTACCTGTGCAGACTCAATGGTCAGTGTGTATAGGCCAGGCCCGGGTCTCCGAGTGAACGTGGCGAGGTGGGTGCCAGTCCGTGAGTCCGTACAGATCGCCACGAGTTCACCCCCAGAAGTAGTTACCGTGACGAAATGGTCATGGAGGACAGCGTTACTCACTAAGTTCGTAGTGAACGAGGGGAGGTGGAGACCTGCAAGCGAGCCGGAAGTGGCCGCCGCACATGGGAGAACGGTGGAGGCACGTGCTACGACTGGGTCCCCAGAGGGGTCAGCCAGAGTGACCAGGACAGGTGCAGTGAGCGGTATGACCGTGGTGCAGTCGCGGAAGAAGCAGCGACTCGCTCCTGAGTCAAGCGTGAAGGTGTGCAAAGCCTCCACAGGAGCTGCATCTGTGCTAGCAGGCTCACAGGCACCTAGGCTAGTAGCCTCTGCACTACCACGGACGCGCCGCTGCACCTACCCTATGTTGTTGTGGCGAGAGGGTATCTTGCTGATGCTGCTGCCGCTGCTGTCCAGTATCTCCAGCACCAGTACCCCAACCAGAGCGGCCTCGCCGAATAACCCACTCGCGAAACTGTTGCGGCGATAGAGTCTCCGGCTGACGCTGCTGCTGCTGCTGTCCACCCCCAGACGCTGCTACGACCGTGATAGTGGCCATGACAGGCAGTGGCAGTCAGTAGCAGCAGCGCAAGGGCGGCAGTAGCGATTGTTGTAGCTGCAGCTGTAGCAGTAGCGGTAGTCGTTGTAGTGGCAGGTGCTGTGGCTGCAACAGCAGCGACTTTTGGAGTGGCTGTAGAGGCAGTGGCTGGGCACGCGCGCTGCCCAGTAGGGTGCGTGGGCAGCAAAGTGCGCACGGGAAGCAGGGCGCTCACTAGCAGCAGGGCGTGCGGGCAGCGGGGCGCGCGAGCAGCAGGGCGCGCGAGCAGCAGGGCATGTGCTAGCAGCAGGGCACATGGGCAGCAAGGCGCGCAGGGCGCGGTCAGCGCAGGCACGTGGGCGGCAGGGCAGAAGGGCGCGCGGGCTGCAGGGCGGGCGCACGGGCTGCAGGGCGCGCGGGCTGCAGGTCGCACGGGCTGCAGGGCGGGCGCACGGGCTGCAGGGCGGACGGGCTGCAGAGCGCGCGGGCTGCAGGGCAGGGCAGCGCGCGGGCTGCAGGACGGCGCGCGGGTAGAGCGCGTGGGCTGCAGGGCTCACGGGCTGCAGGGCAGGGCAGCGCGCAAAGTGCAGGGCTGCGCGAGCAGGGCAGCGCGCGGGCTGCAGGGCGTGCGGGCAGCAAGGCGCGCGGGGCGTGGGCAGCAGGGCGGCGCGCGGGCTGCAGGGCAGGGCGGCATGCGGGCTGCAGGGCAGGGCAGCACGCGGGCTGCAGGGCAGGGCGGCGCGCGGGCTGCAGGGCAGGGCGGCGCAGGCTGCCGTGCAGGGCGGCGCGCGGGCTGCAGGGCAGGGCGGCGAGCGGGCTGCAGGGCAGGGGAGCGAGCGGGCTGCAGGGCAGGGCAGCGCGCAGGCTGCAGGGCAGGGCGGCGCACGGGCTGCAAGGCAGGGCGACGCTCGGGCTGCAGTGCAGGGCAGCGCGGGCTGCAGGGCAGGGCGGCGCGCGGGCTGCAAGGCAGGGCAGCGCGCGGGCTGCAGGGCAGGGCGGCGCGGCGGGCTGCAGGGCAGGGCGGCGCGCGGGCTGCAGGGCAGGGTAGCGTGCGGGCTGCAGGGCAGGGCGGCGCGCGGGCTGCAGGGCAGGGCGGAGCGCGGGCTGCAGGGCAGGGTAGCGCGCGGGCTGCAGGGCAGGGCAGCGCGCGGGCTGCAGGGCAGGGCGACGCGCGGGCTGCAGGGCAGGGCGGCGCGCGGGCTGCAGGGCAGGGCGGCGCGCGGGCTGCAGGGCAGGGCGGCGCGCGGGCTGCAGGGCAGGTAGCGCACGAGCTGCAGGGCGGCGCGCGCGGGCAGAGCACGCGGGCTGCAGGGCTGCAGTGCGCGCGGGTGCACGAGCTGCAGGGCTGCAGGGCGCGCGGGCGCGCGGGCTGCAGGGCGCACGGGAGCGTGGGGCAGGGCGGCTCTAGCGGGCGGTCGGGTCGCGATCGTTAGGGGCAGGGCACAAGAAACATGCAGAGTAAAACGAACGGTGGGTCCTAACTTCGGTCCTAGGGACCTACGTGCTCTGAAACCATGTCAGGTTGATGAGGCAGGGATAAGTGCACTAGCATGAATGTGAAGTACAAGTAGTGCTAACCCTAATGTGTTGTACTCATAATAGGCTACCCCACTAGAGCCTACACAACATCGAAGCTATTTGGTCCCCGCCAGGCGGTGCGGGCACCGCGGGAATATGAGATTCCTTGTAATTCCGGGCAAATCCACGCGGAACTTGTAAGAATCGCATTCAGTGTTAGTTTCGTTACAACGCTGTGGAATAAGTGTACCTAGAACCAAAAGCCTGAAAATCCAGTGTTAACTATGAAAAAAAGGCTGGAAAATCAGTGTCGCTAAAATCAGAACTATGAAAAATCAGTGTAGGTACACAAAAGTAGGCTGAAACAGGAATTTCAAGGAAAAAAAACCTGATATCTGAGGGCCTCATCTCAGGACAACCGCTGGGGGCGGCTTCTTGAGGTTCCCTGCACCAACACAAAGAGACGAGGGAAAGCCGATAGATCAACAAAAGGGGGGGGGGATAAAAAATTCGCATATGGTCCATTGATACCGTACCTGCTGCTGTCAGCCGCTCTTGGCCCTCTTCTTCAAACCAATTCTGGTACTGCTGGCGGACGGAGGTCTTAAAGCTCTTGTTGATGGAGACGTCGAGGGGCTGTACCTCTGCCGTACAGCCCGACGGGATGACCGCCGGCACAATGTTGAGCTCGTGGAATTTCTCCTTCACCCTATCAGTGAGGTGACTACGGTAGGAATCCAGCACGACCGTCGAGCTCCTCGCATGCCTGTCGAACCGGGGCTTTATGAAAGGATCGATGCACTCCTCAAGCCCGTCAGCGTCAACTCTATACGTGGGCGTTCGGGTAGGTTTCTTCTTGAACAAAAAGTGGGTGCCTTGTAATTCCGCCATGGCTTCCGCAGCGAGGCGGGCGAAACAAGAAACTGAGTCTGAACTGCAAGAAAGGGTGAAGAAATGAAGAAGAGAGGGACCCGTTCGGGTCCGCGGCTCGGGCTCCTCGTCAATGACGGACGGGAAATCTCCAGCCTGAACTTGCAGAGGATGGTATCGCGACACATACATGCTGCGCTGGTAGAGCATATTCCACCCCCTTCTAGAGGATTCGGATGAAATGCTCCTGCTGGCAGCGCATGACAACCTGATTGGGCCGCACGGCAGGTTTCGCGTCAGCGCTTGCAGGTGCGTTGCTCTGGGACGGGTTTTGTGCGGTGGGAAATCAAATCGCGGCAAGTTTCGCCGGGATTCCATGCATGATCCCACACGCACGTTACACTGTTATGTTCGCCTTATTGAGGGCTTACCTTAAAAACCTTTTTTTTTACATTTTAAAAGCGCCGGCGCTTATGGCCGTTACTCAATTACAACCCCCTAAAAAAAATGAACGAATTTATTATAAGAGCATATGCGCTACTATCCGGGGCCAGATGGTGTGCTTCTACTTCTGATTAAGGCTTTTTCGTGTTGGTCTACAGTCTACACTCCCACTTCCAACCGACAGCTTTCCAAGCGAAGAGTCGCGTGTGCAAGAGCGGGGCGATACACGAGACGAGGGCCCATTGCTGCAGTCGAAGCGGAAACCGTGCGACTTATCTGGTGATGCAAAGGGTGCGAATGATGTTGATGAGTGCGCGGGTGCGTCTGTCGACCCGAGACCCATGGCTGCGTGAACCAATCGACGCGGGCGGAAGCCCCGAGCCGTTGTTTGGAGCTGCCGTGTTCCTCTAGTGACTGCTGCTATAGAAGCGGCGCCTGCTCGTCTTATCCGTCGTGATGCTTGGGAGCCTTGCGTTTACTCGTGTTGGCTCTCTGTGACTCGTACAGAGTCACGCGTAGGTTCATCGCTTCGTTCCTTGAGAGGAAGGGAGACGAAGGAGGAGAGAGGAGAGGGAGAGCGAGAGCGGGAGCGAGCGCCGCAAGTACTCCAGTTATTGCGGGGTGGTGTGTATCACCGAGTTTGCTACGATGAAGGGAGGTGAACATGCAGAATTGCGAGGCTTCGTCGCGGCAGCGGATTCAATTAGCTCAGAAATTGCAGGAAGCGCAGGAAGCTCAGGAAGTTACCGTTGCTGCGCCAGTTTAAACAGACGCTTTGCGCCGCCACCGCCGGGCATGAACGGCCGTGGTCCCCTGCTTGCCGTCATTCTATTGCTGGCGCATGCCGTCGTCACATCCCAAGGTAGTATCCGTTATTGCTGGCCTTCTGACGCTCTCACCGCCGCGGTTTGACGCGCCTAAAAAAAGCTTGCCGCCATTATATTGCTGGCGCATGCAGTCGTCACATCCCAAGGTATCCGTAATTTCCGTCATTCTGACGCTCTCGCTGTGACCCAACCCGCTTCCTCCGGTTTTTCATCCCGTTCCCCTCGCCCCGCTCAACTCCTCCCCCTAACCCCCTCTTCCTCCTCCCCCATTTCCCCTTCTCTCACTCGCATTTCGCACAGCCATTTATCACCAGTTCATGCAAACCTCTCAGCACACCCTTACCGCCACGCACCCTCACTTCCTCTGCCTTACCCATTCCTGCTCCCGTTCCCATTACTGCGGGATAATATCGCAGGTGCAGCAACAGCAGAGGCAGCATGCGTGGGATCGGCTTGCACACTGCAAGGTACCTTGATGGGGTCGTCTTGTACTAGTGCATTTGATGCTCTCATTCCGCGTTTTGAGACGTCTCGAAACTCGGCTTGCACACTGCAAGGTACCCACCTTGTACTAGTGCATTTGATGTTCTCGTTCCGCCGGGTCTATGTCGATCGTCCAAGGTTGTTCGCCTTTGCTATCTCCAGCCCCACGCAAACCTGCCTTGCCGACCTGATGGGGCTCTCATGTGTGCCATGCTATGCATGCCCATGCATGCCCATGCATGCCAAGGCATGCCCATGCAGGCCAAGGCATGCCATCAATGCTATTCATGCCATAAAGGCATATGGTCTGATCCAGGCTCATGGTCTCCTCCCTCACCCTCAGAACACGAGTTGAAGCATCTCCCCTCCAGCTCACCCTGACACCACTCACTCTCTCCTACACATCTCTCTCCACCCTTCCCAACCCCTCTTCCTCCATCTATCCCCATCCGTACCCATCAGTGTCTGCCGCGCTCCCTCCAGAGCACACGCTCTTCCTCGCCCTGAACCACCTGCGCTACGCTGCGGGTGCGCCGCCCCTCTGCAACTCCACCGTGCTGAGAGCAGTGGCGCGCGAGTGGCTGCGCAACCTGTGGCTCGCAGGGCTCACGCCTGACTGCCGGAATGGGTCTCAGGGTGCTGGTGCTGCTACAGCAGGTGCTGCTCGTAAGCTGTGATGGCAGTATAGGTTGTTGTTGTGGTTGTGGTTGGAGAGTGCAGCCACTGTTGGGTATGGCCCCTGCGTTTCACATGGCAGTGTTGGGTCTCTCTTTCACGCTCTTCCTTCCCCTTACCCTTTTTTGTACCTTCCCCTTGTTTATTCTCCTCTTTGTACTTCTACTTTTGCATTTGCCGTTTCTTTTCTTGGAAGCAGGTCTTGGCATGGAAACGCCTGAATGCTACCAGGCACCTCTGCTTCCCCACGTGCGCAAAGAGTACACCCGGTACACTCCATTCATCACCTCGCTATACTCCCTCTTTGGAACCTCCAACTCGTCTAACCTGCAAAGCTCACTGTCGAGTGAGAATGCCGGTGCAGCTGATGAAGCAGCTAGGGCGTTCGTACAATCCACGTTCGCTAGGCTCCATTCCTCTTCTCCCTCCCCCCCTGCATTAATCGACTATCTAATCTCCGATGTGGGAATCTACCTCATGGAAGGCTCGGGCATACAGGAAGAACCGGAGCCGTGGGAGGATGAGAGGAGTACAAGCACAGCGAGCATGCATGGGGGAGGTTCCGGTAGTCGTAATGGTCTGTCCTCCTTACCAAAGGGCGCTGAAGAAGAGAGAGCTGGGGAGCACAACTGGTGGGTGGCCGTGGTTGTTGGCCAGATGGGAAGAGGCTTGCAGTCGTTCTGTGAGGTTCGGGGCCAAGTGGTCAGCATTCCGGGCCGTGCTATTTTGGTTTGAGCAGCTTTCAGGGTGTGCGGTGCATATGACATGCAGCAACAGTGTGCAACATGTAAATAATCACTTGCTAGTATATTCTCAATAGGGTTACCATATTAACTTTGCTCCATGGTTGTTAACATCGGATTGCTAATGGTTCATGGCAAACAGCTTGGAACAATCAGATATAGGGGCTGGCAACTTGGTAAGCCACACTCCTACAAAAAGCTAGCAGACAGTCAGCAAGGGAGCACCTTGCAAACCGTCCGAAAACAAATATCGGGCCCCAAAAATATGTACGGTAACCATCGAAGGGGAGGTTCCGCAGAGCTGAGTCCCATTGGCAGTGCCCAGAGCTGAGTCCCAATGCCCAGATCCACGTACAACCCGCTTGATGGCGTTCCTTATGCACGAGGCTATGGAGTCAGACTCAGTGTCACTTCTTGCATTGTGGCATGCTCTGGAAGCTTGGGACAGCATAGCCTTTTGCACCTGCACAGCGTAAAAAAACACATTATCAATGCAGGCTCGGACACTTCAAGAACCAGAAAACCAAAGCACGCATGCGATTTTCACACGCTGTATGCATCAAACTGTATGGCGCTTCAAAAGCACAGCCGCCTCCTCACCTCTAGCTGTTCGATAAACGCCACAGCAGCGTGAAGCAGCGACGCCATATCGGTGCGTGCAGACAGGTTGGTCGAGCACCGCTGGCGCAGCCACGACGCAGGAATGGCCTTCTCTAGCTGCTTGAACCCCGCACTGAACAGAAAGAAACCATGGAGAGACACACACACAGAGGCAGAAACATGAAATTAGCTGCCTGGATCTGGTGAAGAAGCACTCATCAAGAAACGATCTCGAGAAAGTACAAGTGAAAGAGACGGAGCATAGTAGAAAGTACATAAATCTGGACGCTTCCAGGGGGCGTGGCGTACCTGACCCGGTGTCGTCTACGCTTTTCCGTGGCGCTCCGGCGGTGTATGGGCTGTCTCTGTTTCTCCACACCCAGTTGTTCCCCTCTGCGGCTGCCGCTCAGCATCTTCTGGGTCGCTAGCAGCGTTGGTGCGGCAAGGTGAACCGCGGGTTGTGCGGTCCGTGTTCCCTGTGCTCCTGTGGCTTCAATAGCGGTGACAGCGACAGAGGTGGCGTGGTTGTGGGTCGAAGCGGTGCTTCTTCTACCAGCGCCAGCGCCAGCGCCAGCGCCAGGAATAGAAACGGCAGCCGAAAATGAAATTGGAGCTTCCATCTTCACGCGTGGGAGTTCTAGAATCGCGGCATCGCCGGTTTGGATTAACGCGGCAATGCCAGGCTCAGGTGCAGGCATCACAGCCGCTGCTCCAGCTGCTGCTGCTGGAAACATGACGTCTGTCAACTGCTCTCCGAGAAGGAAAGCAGGGGTTATCAGGGGGAGGTCGTTGGGGATGGCCCATGCAGCGAAGTCCGCGTATTCTTCCCAGCCAGAGGAAGTGATGCTGGTGGTGGTAGCAGTGATCTCGGAGATTGGAGCGGCCTCGTTGAGAACAGCCTCGCGCAATTTGCGCTGGGAATGGCCCCCCTGTGCGGCGGCTGCGGCGGTGGCGGTGGCGGCCCAGGTTAAAGAGCCATCAGGCCCAGAATCAACCCTAAACCCGGGCGAGTAGAGCGCGTCATCGTAGTAGAGAGGTAGCGAGCGCGTGGACGGAGCGTCCATGAGACTAATGCCCAACGGGGAAGCGGTAGTACTGCTGCTGCGTACTAATGGTGGTGGAAGAAAGCGGACCTGCACAGATGAAGTTGAACTGCCCGTGCTGGTTTCGAGGAAAGGTATCACGGAGGCGTCAAGTCCACGGATGGGGCAAAGGAGGAGTGAGCGCGAGAGTCGGCGCGAGCAAGACGCGAGCAATACACGAGCAAGGAAGGTATTCGTAGAATGAGCAAGACTTGAAGTCGCGGATTGCTTATCTCAGAATGAGCTCTCCCATTCCAGTGACCCCCCTCCGCGTCATCGTGTGCACTAATATACCGCGGCATGGAACTACAGGCGGCGGGGCGGAGCGGGAGTGAGATGGAGGTCCCGAGGTGTCCGTCGCTGAGCGGAGGCAGCGGGCATAATCGCGACGAGCACAGACGGCACGGTGCGGACATCTCGAGATCAACGCCATGAGCGGGGGACGTGGGGGGAGAGGAGGAAAAGCGACGGAGGCAGCGACGGCCCCCCCGGTGGGGGTGGGGAGGGAGGGAGGGGAAGGGTTGTGGGGGGGGGAGAGACGGGGAGAGCGATGGCTTTTCAGTCACGGATGTGGCACATTCGGTTTCGGTCACGCATGAGCAGAGAGGGCATCGTCCGCCGCCATTGATTCGACGATCCCAGGTCGACGGAGTCGGGCCGACAGAGCTCGCTTGTCATCATGACAACGTATGGCTACGAGAAGTGAGGGAGAGTCTGGCACGGGCAAAAGTAGTGAAGACTGCTCGGCATCAGGCTGACGATCAATCACAGATTATACACGTAGGATCTTTTGGATTTCCACTCTCCGTAATCTGAGATTACGGCCGTCGTGCCACTGTGCTACTGGTCACATTGCGAGCTGAAAAGGGCACCGCCGTGAGGCACACTATACAATGTAGTACAAAATCCGCCGATGGTATTTCATGCGCGGCGGTGCTGCTGAGCTGCTGTGCACAGGTCGACATGTATTGTTGCCCGATCAGATAATACGATTACCGCATCTCAAGATGTATTGTAACCGTTTTGTTGGCCAAAATTGAGCGTCGGTCTTTGCTAGAGATATGTTGTGAAGAATCTGCCCCGATCTTCCAGTTCGATTGAGGCTAACGATCCTTCTGAGTTTCGGGCTCCTCTGTTCCTATTTATTTTAAAATACCGGTATACAGATTTCGGGCTCCTCTGTTCCTATTTATGCTACAATACCGGTATACAGACATAGCTTAGGAAAAGAAGGAGCATAAGAGATAAAGGTGGGGGTTTATGTGAGTTGATGTGTGCGGCGGAAAGACGGCACATGGTCTAAGGCGTTGCCGTGTTCAAAAACTATAGAGAAGGGTAAGTTTACTGAGCAGTTGTTGTACAGAATCAATCTGATATGGATAAGGTGCTTGTGAACGCGCGGGTGGTGGGAGACGGATCTTTAGAAAGTCGTGCGTGAGTGAGGGAAAAAGGCGGTGGACATGTCACAGTCAGCTCTGGCACGACAGCTGGGCTGGGGCGTATGGCATCAGGCCCGCACCACAAGGGATTTCGGAATCGATACGATTATGGCGATCGCGATAGTTATAGGGATACATTATAAGGATTTCGCAATATTATAACCCTGTATACAAAATGTAGATAGCCATAAGAACGAAATGGAGCAAAAGGGTGGGGTTGATAAAGGAGATTGAGTGTGTTAGAAAACGGGATGAGAGTGAGTATATTATGGTTTATAATAAGCTGAGGCCGGTTATCTTGTTACAATCCCACGGGGTTCTTAGCCAGAATCGTGCTCAGGGTTGATCGCATAGTAGTATGCAGCGGAAGTAAATAGTGACAGCTGTCAGAGTGAATGTAGATGACATAAGTGACTATAACAGACAAATACAAAGGTTTATATATAAGATTACAAGGAGTGCGAAACGTCCTAGCTAACCATATACTCTAAGGGGAACATTCACTTATTAAATCGAAACTTAACCGTGCGGCGCGGAAACCTGTTTCATTTCATCTTCGTATGTAGTGCTGGCACGAGTTACGTTCAGGAATGTACCAAGTGTATTTCCTTATCGTAACACCCCCCCTTCATTCCTGGGCGTAGCAGGTTCTGACTTTCTTAACCACGCCGCTGAGGTTAGCGCAGTGCTGGTACTGCTGACGTGGCAGTCGTTTGGCGAGGAAGTCAGTTGCCATGTCAGTGGTCGGACAATACGCCAGGTCAACTTTGCCTTTATCGATCCCGTCCTTGACGAAGAAGTAGCGCAACACGATGTGCTTCGTTCGGTTGACGAAGCCGGGTTTGTTCGCGATCCTGATCGCGCTTTAGTTGTCGCAATGAAGGCGAAAAGTTGATTATGTCGCAATTTTCGCCTCATGTAGGAGCTCCTGTAGGTAGAGTCCTTCGCGAACTGCAGCGGTGGCGGCAATAAATTCTGCTTCGGTTGACGATAGGGCAACCAGCTCCTGCTTCTTCGAATTCCAGGAGATGGGTCATGTTGGCTCGAGTCGGAAAAAGAAGCCCGTTCGTGACTGTCGGTTGCTAGGATCGGCGGCATGATCTTCTTCCACGTATCCTGACAAGGTTAAAGGATTGTGTTGTCAGCGTTGAGTAGGAAAGCCCAATGTTGGGCGTGGAAAAGAAGTGTTGCAGGGCGCGCTCGAGATCCAGCAGGTTTTCTGCCACTGGCTTGCGTGAGTACTGTGCCAGTTGGCTGGCGATGTAGGAAAGGTCGGGCCTGCAGGTGACGGAAGCAAACAGCAGGCAGCCCAGTTGCTGCTGGCAAATGTGGAGTCCTGCGGGTGACAGTGGCTTGTTGTCCGGTTTGTGGTTGGGACCCGGCGAGCGGTAAGCAGTTGAGAGTGGTGCTGGCGGAATGCTGAACCTCTCTCCCAGTGACTCGGCGTACTTGGAAGCTGAGAGGTGGATGGCTTCAGGAGCGTAGGAGATGTTCAGGCCTAGGAACTGCGTCATGATGTGGTTGGTGGTGATGTCAACGGGCTGTCCTAGGTTCTTCTCGAACTGATCAAGTAGGGTGTTGCTTGTTCCTGTTGTCAGAATGAGAGTACAGCGGAATGATGTGTGATTAGCAGCAGTGAGATACAAGTATGCAACCCTAAAAGGGTTGTACCCTGTATGGGCTACCCCACTACAGCGTACAAGCATATAAATGCATGACACACCCCCATAGGCAAAGTGGGGGATAGCAAGAACAACCAACGGTCACAAGACTAGTCAAGCAAAAAGTCAAAGCAAAGCAAAGCTCAGGGTGGATCTCAAGATCACCACACAGTCTGAGCACAAGCAAGTGGCCACAATGCCAGTTCACATGCAGAGTGATAAAAAACACAAGCATTACAATGATCACAACCTAGCAAGAGTAACCATGCAGGTAAATATACAGATCACAGTACTGCAACCCTAAAAGGGTTGTACCCTATATGGGCTACCCCACTACAGCCTACAAGCATATAAATGAATTTTGACACACCCCTATAGGCAAAGTGGGGGATAGCAAGAACAACCAACGGTTACAAGACCAGTCAAGCAAAAAATCAAAGCAAAGCAAAGCTCAGGGTGGATCTCAAGATCACCACACAGTCTGAGCACAAGCAAGTGGCCACAAGGCCAGTTCACATGCAGAGTGATTAAAAACACAAGCATTACAATGATCACAACCTAGCAAGAGTAACCATGCAGGTAAATATACAGATCACAGTACAAGCCAAAGTCAAGCAGTAAGCAAGTGAGACAAAGTAGGCACTAGGCCTAGAGCAGTGCAGAAACGCTGATGATCACCAGACACAAGGGCCTTGGTGAAAATATCAGCAGTGTTGGCCCCTGATGTGAGGATCTAGGATCGAGCTCAGAAAAGAGAGTTTGAATTGAATGCTCCACCTGGGTACAACACGAGGCTATATATAGTCTCGACACAAGGCAGGTAACCCAGGTGTTACGCGAATGTTCTGAGGGTCGCGAATGCGTCCCGAACAGAACCTTCCCGAACTCGGTAGAAAGCAATTCGGTGGCAACCGAAAGGCTTGAGTTCGGTACACGTAACTTGGTTCAGTGCTATAACTATAATAACATATAGGAATGCACCTAACCTAGGAAATCAAGCATATCTATGCATGATAAAATAAACCCAAGCTAGATATAGCATAATAAGCAAGCATAAGCCGTCGTATGTCAAACATTATATGTGTTATAGTTTGTAGGCTACATTGGGTTAGCCTCTAGGGGGTACATGGCTCTAGTGTTTTGTACTTGTACTCATTATTCCTTTCTAGTCCAATCACTTCTTCTTTCTAACATGGTATTAAGAGCGAAGGTTTAGACCTAGGATCGCTTACCTAAGGGCCCACCGTTCCGCTAGAAGCGCCCTCGAGCGCCTTAATGCATTAGCGCCCTCGAGCGCCTCTCTCCTAGTGCGCCCTCGTGCGCCTCTCTTTCTCCTGCTGCCCGTGCGCAGCTCGCTAGTGCCGCGCGCGACCTTTTTTTTTTTAGCGCGCGTAGCCCACTAGCAGCCCGCGCGCGGCCTTTTCTGCGCGCGCGCCGACCGTTAGCCGCCCGCACGACCAGCGCCGCCCACGAGCAGCCCGCTAGCCGCCCGTCGACTGGCCCTCCTGGCCGTCCAGAGCGTAGCAACCCCGCGTGTAGGCCGCCGTGTCACCCGTGTAGGCCGCCGCGTCACCCGTGTAGGCCGCCGCGTCACCCGTGTAGGCCGCCGCGTCACCCGTGTAGGCCGCCGCGTCACCCGTGTAGGCCGCCGCGTCACCCGTGTAGGCCGCCGCGTCACCCGTGTAGGCCGCCGCCCACGCGCGACTGCAGCCCACCCACAGCTGCGACCCGCCCGCTACAGCCACCCACGTGCAGGCCCACCGTCGCGCCGTGCCGCGTAGTCCGAACCGAGCCGCGCCGCCCGAACCGAGCCGCGCCGCCCGAACCGAGCCGCGCCGCCCGAACCGAGCCGCGCCGCCCGAACCGCGCCGCGCCGCCCTAC